CGCAGGCTGGCGGGCTGCAGAGCGCCGGCTCATTCCCGAGGGTCAGCCAACGTGAGTAGCGCAGAAAGCAGAGGTTTCCTCCCTAAGAGCGTTTTAGAACACGCTGTCGTTGCAACAAGTCGTTCCGTTCCCTCTCCCAGCCTCCCCACACCAGCTCTGCCTCTCAGGGAAGGGACCAAGCCTGTCAAACTGCGGCCTTTTTGGCATTTGTTTTGTTTTGTTTTCCTGTCAGTTGGATGAGCTGAACTTGTTCTCCAAGGGGACGAATAAACCGCTAGAGCTCACTGAAGGCAGGAGGTGATCTCGCCCCTTTGAGCAGCACCATTAAACCAGCTCAGATTACCAGGGTACAGACTCTTGCTTCACCAACATGATTAAATCACTCAAAGCTGATTTCACCTGCTTCAAAGCAAAGGAAACTAGGGTGCTGCTGCAACAAAAATTCACTCAGCAGTGGCCAGATTTCACCCTCAAACATGAAAATTCTGAAAGGGCAGGGCAAAGAGGTGCCTGGTGAGGAATAGCGTGCTGTGCTTGAATCTGAACATCTTTTGAGACCTGAAGCCTCACATCAGATGAGGCTGCTGGGCTGGCCTTCTGGTATAGGTTACAGTTTGTGTTTGCTGCAGTTAAGGTTGGGGTTTAGCTAACAATCAACTTTTTAGTTTCTTTTTCCAGTCTGTTTTAAAAAAACATACTCTTTTGCAAGAGGTTATTGATGCACTGAGAACTAAATCCACTGAGAACAAACCCCAAATACTTTAACACCCCCCATATATATATACACACAAGCCCCAAAATACCCTTTTGTTCTTTTTAAACCTTTGAAAATCTGGATTTCTGTAGTTTTTGTACTGATTTTCAGTATAATCACAGCAGATTTGTTATTGATGGCAAGGAAGTGTATGAGACTTAAGAGTAAAATGCAAACACCCTTATTGAATTTATAACTGAGATTATAATTTGTAACTCTCATTATAACTGAACTGATAACTGAGATTTCATAGACTTTATGTATAAGAGACACACAAGTGACTTGAAAAAGGAAAGAGAGAAACCACAAACCAGCTTGTAAAGGAAAAGGGAATGAAGCTGGTGTTCAGTGGAGCAGTCCCATAGCTGGGACATGGCTTCATGTGCAGCTAAGTTGCACAAGGCTCATTGCTCCCCCTTGATGCTTCCTCTACCACTTTTAACATCTGGAATTACATTATAGAGACTTCCTAAGTGCCAAAACTGGCACTCTCTCATGGGCAGTGAGCTATTGGAGCAGCTCACTGAGTGTTGAGGTGTCCTGAGCCTGATCCTGCTGAGTTAGTGTCTTCACTGTGTCTTCTAAACAAAATGCCTTGTGACCAAGTGTGTGCTATTTAGTGCCAGAGCAAGCACAGAACAAGGCCCCAAAGCAACAACAGCAACAGATTCAGTTTTATTTTAATGAAGATTAATTCTATTGGGAGATACATCTTTAATTTCCAGCTCCAATCTTCTCAGCTCCTTAGTGTTTACCTGTATGGCTGCATGTATTTCTTTTTTCACCAAGTATTAACATCAAGACCTGGCCCTAAAAGCAGCTCCAAAGCCAGCACTGCTGCACTGGAGTGGAACAAGGCTTGATCTGAGAGAAATCCAGCCCTTAGCCAGGGTCAGAATTTGTAATGCATGCAGGATTATTTCTTACATAGGAGAAGCCAACCAACCTGCTCTGAAATTCTACAATCCATCACACCAAAGTGGCAACAGATCAGAGGAGCAGGTGGTGCCTCTGCTCAGACACACCTGGGAACAGGCAGCAGTGGCTGGGAGATGTGATCTGGGAAAAAGAGGTCCATGGCACAGCACGGATCAGTTTCTCAGCAAGTTAAAAACAGACACCAGGCTTCAGAAACTGCTGGTAAAACAAGGCTGAATAGATTTAAAAAATAAACTCGTTCTCCTCATTTGTTTTGAAAAATAGGAGTTTACTTCTTCCATGCTTATCATGACTGGAAAGGCCAAGTGGCACCAGTATGAAAACACCAATAAGACAGAAAACAACCTGAACAAAGATAAGGATTAAGCAGAAAACAGCTTGAACAAAGGGGAGGATTAAACAGAAACAGCTCTACATTGAAGGAAGGCTTCTGGGACAATGGTTGAGGCAGCAAGAGGAAAATTGAATGATTTGCAACTGGGCACTTGTAACTTTCTCAAAAAGCAGCTTAGAATAGATCATTTATTTATGAGAAACCCACCATTAACAGAGACATGCAGGCAAAGAAAGAAAACCAGTTCCAGTTTGGGCTTGTTGTGCTGTTCATCCTTGCAATACAATTTCAGGTAGTTTTTTCTTTGTTTTAAATTCTTAAAATATTAGAAGACACTGCTTTTAAGTATTCTGTTCCAAATTTCCCAGAACCAAGTGAAATTCTATAGCTCATCAACATCAATGATGTTTTAAAAAAAAAGACACTTTTCAAACATTTGCAAACTTTGGTGGATTGTTGCTTTGCTCTCTTTCAAACACCTACAATGGGAAAGTATCTCATAAAAAAAAAAAGGCCAAAAGGAGGGTTTCAAATTATTAACAGATAAACTATCTAGCATGAATGTTTCCTCTGCTGGGGTCAGCTTTTCACCAGCCTCAGCTTCCTCCCATCTAAATGGTAACATTTTGAACTATGTCAGTTTTAAACTCAACTGGAAGACATTATCTGGTAGTCCCTCTAAAAATGGAGGGGAGGGGACACAGTTACAGCCAGAGATGGTAGCTATATGAATCTTTAATTATAGTTACTACTGAAAAATCCACTTTTTAGCTGCTTTCCCCCCCTTCTGGTTTAACTTTACCATAACTGTCTTCTGGACTAGCCTTTTATTTTTTTCATATTATTGTTTTTAAACAGACTCAAACCAGTTTGAGTATAAAAATTAAAACAGCCCTAAATATAAGTGATACTACCTTACAAGAATAAAGTTGCAGAACACCATCAAGAAGAAAACAAAAGTATCTTTTTCTTAAGGACAGGGAGTCTCAGATCTGCAGAGTGACCTCAGTGAACACAAACCCACACTGACACTCCTGGCAAAAGACCCCTGGCTTTTGCAGTCGGACAACCTGGTTTTTCCCCCCCTCTCTGTGTCTAAGAAAGGGCTTAGTATCTGAGAAAGGGAGGGAAAGAGTGAATCTGCAAGACTCCTGTCCAGTTATACTTCTTAACTGTGATGCCAGTCAACAAACAGCTGAAATCCCAGTAACACCTTTCAATGGAACAGAACAGTTGTGCCAAGTGAAGCCTCAGCTTTAACAGTTGGCAGACAACTGGAAATACAGACCTTTTTTAAATTTGTTTGGCTTATTTCCCCCCTTCATGGAATGTGCATCCTTTCCACAAAAGACTCTAAATTCTCATTCCAAGCTAAAACCATCAGTTACTTTGTTTTTAAACACTGATGGTATTCACATCCAAAATGCTGTAAATGCGGGTGCTGGAAAATAAGCTGTAGTCAAGAAAATGTTTTAGTCTGGGGGCATATATTATTAAACCTCCTCAGAATACACAACTTTGGGACCCAAAGCAACCCTCCTCAAAACCAACAACTTGAAAAGAGTTTACAGGAAGCTCTGCCAAACACAAGAGAAAACATCACCATGGTTTTAATTCTCCTTCCAACACATGCCTGTTGATCTACTCTGCAACAGGGCTTTTAAACATTTGAAGGATTGTCTTTTGCTTATTCTTAGGTAATGAGCAAAGGTCATTTGACTCACTGGTATTAACCACACAATTCAAAACTTTTCCTCCCTTGATGCTGGGGGATTTCATCCTGACCCTAGTAGAGGACTGCCAGTTTTCATTGCAAGAGCCTCTCCGAGTCTTGCGGTGATTTGTTTCAGCCCGGTTTTTTGGTACTTTGGACTCTTTTGCCATCTTAGAGTTCCCCTTCCTAGCAGGAGAGCCTTTCCCAAACTGGGGTGGCTTGGTGCGCAGAAGGTACTCGTCTGGGGAGCCCTTCTGTCGATTCAGTGTCCTCTCCTCCTTGTTGATCTGTTTTTGCAGCTGCAGAGCCAGACACCTGTCCTGCTCCTCTTGCATACGCCTCTTGTAGAACTCCTGCTCAAGGGCTTTGTGCATTTGCAAGTCAAAATCATTTAGCTGCTCCCCTTGGTCCTCTAAACTTTCTGGAAAAGTTCTTCTCCTCTTATCAAGGACGCACAAGTCAACCACTGCTTCAGCTGGTGGCTCCAGCAACTTTCTTTTTGGAGTGTCCTTAGAGTTCTGGGGTCCTTCTGGTGTCTCTCCATCTAAGTGCCCTGCCACCCTCCTGAGATCACACACTACACTTTCCCTGTCAGACACCACAGCATTTGTTGCTGACTGAACATGGGTACAAGTTTCAGCAGAGTTTTCAAGCTTTATGCTTTCTATACCTGTTGAACTGGCACTGTCTGTGTCAGTTCCATCATCTTCTCCTTTGGATCTATGAAGAACTGTTCTAGACCTTTTTGAAATTCCATGAAGTACATCTAGAACTTCATCTCCTAGACCATCTGGTCCTGATGTGTTTTCCTGCTTGACAGCAACAGTTTCCTCTGAAGCTGAAGCACTGAAATAGTTCATGCACGATTCCAAAAATGAATCCTTAGCACTGGAATCTTTAATCACACCAGTCTGCTGTGGAGACAGTGTTGGCATCTCCTCTTGCTCATCTTGCCACGCAGAACTGTTGCCTTCGTTGCTACTGGTCTCCTGCAGAAAAGGGAAAGACCACAAAGTCAATTTATCAAAGCCAAAGGGTATGAATAAAATGCAAACCTCACCTCTCATAGCTGCACTGCTCGTAACTACTCTGAGACATTAACTTGGATTCTTCTCTTTTAAAAAATACAGAATGACAATGCAAATATTTAAAACAACCTGCAGAATCTTAGTTAAAGCGCTGAAAGCACAACTGCAACTGTCTTGCAAGGACTCAAACCAACTGTCCAAGGTACTATCCTGCTCATCTTCTTCAGGAGCCTAACAGGAAAGATCAGGCAGGCAGGCAGACAGGGAATGATGAAAATCTGAGGGCAACCTCCTCCACTGAGCTCCAGAACCATAATTTTACTTCTATAGAGCATGGAATGCAACCCAAAGCTCACTGAAGATGTTCACGTAAGGTCCCAGAAGGTAACTAATGAAGTAAGGCACAGGTGTACAGACTGTCCAGCACAGTCTTTCCCTTTCCATTTTGGAGAATTAGGAATACTGAAGGGATTTCAAAAAGGGGAAGATAAACTGCCCAGTGCTGATGTGCAAGAGGAAGATGGGATTGGCAATCTGTCCTGGTTTCAGCTGGGATAGAGGTAATTTTCTTCTCAGCAGCCAGAATAGCACTGTTTTTTTCATTTTCTAGGGGATCTGGTATAAGAAGAATGTTGGTAATACACAGATGGTTCTAGTTGTTGATAAGAAATCAAGGACTCTTCACCATTCCAGGCTTTGCAAGGCAAGGGAAAAATAACCCATTATTACTGAGATTTAGAACAAAATGATTCTAGTTACCACAAAGCCTGAGTCCCTCCTGCCTCTTTCTGTTGTTCTAGAAAATGATGCTGATCCCAATGTATGATGAAGCTTTGGAGACAGATACCTTAAAGGGGGAAGAAAAAAAATAAATAAAGATACATTTTAAAACCTTTTTTCCTTGAATTGTCAGTCAACTGCATTCATCAAGATCTTCAGGCTTATTCTGACAACAAAAAACAAAAAGAAAAGGGTTTTTCCCTTCTCCATACTATCCTATGAGATGTTTTAACATTCAGCAGTTTACACTTGCTCCAGATTATCTATGGAAGGCAGACTCCAGGATTCCAAGAAAGCAAATGGAGCAGAGGGGATACTATACCAAAGAACAGACCAATAATTAAGGAGAAACATGAATTCCTTACTTCTGAATGTCTCCTGGGTTGTTTGGTTTATTCTTCATCTTGCACGAATTAGCTGGGGATGCTTCAGATGAGAGCCTGCTTGCTGGGGATGGACTCCTGAGCACGTGTCCTTGGGAACTGTCATTCTTCAATGACACGGAAAAATGGCATTATAGCAAACAAAAAACACCACACAAACTGGGTAAAACCCAGAGAACTACCTTGTTTCTGCTGCAGAATAAGGTGCTTTTGCCCAAAGCATTGCAGAACTGCAAATAATGGTTAGTTATGGAATAAGAAATATGTTACATGTTCTGTCCACTTTCCTGTAACTTGTCATTAAGGGACAAGAGGTTTTGCTCAAATAACTACACAGGTTTCATCATCAGAACTATTACCAAAAAACAACCAACCAAAACCCCAAAACAAATTAAAAAACCAAACCACCCAAACAAACCCCAAAATATAAGGTAAACTTTCATTGGATGTTTTTCATGACAGGTTCCTGATACCAATTTCTTCCCAAGTATTTTTTTAAATCATGGCAGAAAGGAAATGTACAGAAAAAACCCAGTGTTTTAGCAGGTCTCACCACAAAAACATCCAGCACACATTTCAAGAGCATATGACACAGCTAAAAATATTTGGGGTGTTTTACCCTCCCTGCTGGTTCTTCAAAAATCAATCAAGGATCTGGCATCCTGGGGGCTGACAACAGCTTTCAATTACAACTAAAATACATTGAAGTTGTTCAAAATCCTAACTTTTGCTCTGAAAAGTCTCAGTTAGTTGCAGTAGGTCAATGTTTTCTCCTGCCCCCTTGGATCCTAACTCACCAGGCTGTTATTCAACTGCCAGGCCAGCTCTTCATCCTGCTTCAGTTGTTCCTCCATCTCCCGCCGTCTCTCCTCTGCCAGCCTGTGTTGTTCCTCCTCTTCCTCTGCTAGGAGCTTCTGAATGTATTCCTCACTGGCCTTGTTCTCCTCTTGCTCATGTGCTCGTCTTTCTGCCTCCACCTAAGACAGGGTTTTTTAAAAGGTTACAGGTGTAGGACCACACTGTACACCAGAACCTATCAACTGTTCACACCTTAAGTGTGAACAATCCACTCTTTGCGAGGACACTCCACACACTTCACAGCCAGAACTGAACTACACAGCCCCCCAGAGATGTGTGCAGCCCTCACTTTGCTACCAGTGACCTACCTCTGGGTTTCTGTCAAGACTACACCATCAACTGCCAGCATGCAAGGTTAAAATCCATTAACTCACCTTTGAAAACGTTAGTAGCAAAACCTAAGATCTTCAAATATGTGGATCACAGAGAACTTCAAGATTCTTTCCAAGGCTGGATGCCAGCTAGACCACACTGTTTGCTTAACCTGCTTATATATTAGCACAAGATACCTAAAAGATGGGAAATCTCTCTTCTAAAACAGTCCTTCTGCTCCCCTGAAACATGCAAAACCCAAAGCAGCAGACCAAGAGTTTTAAATCTGCCTTCTCTAGAGCAGACATCCACTCTCAGTAGTTACCAACAGCTCCACAAGTTCAGCAAAGTACTTCAAGAAAGAATAAAGATCTCTTAACTTTATGATGGAATTTGGAAACTTGCTTTAGAGATGTCAGGCTGTAACACCACACAAGCCACGTGGTCCTGTTTCACATCATGTATTGATGTCTTTCCATTGGCACCATTACTTATTTCACTGCTTTTGAGCACCACCTCCATTAACCATAAATCTTCTGCCAACCAGTCGTACTCCCTAACTGCCATAAAAGAGAACCCCACAGTCCTCTGCTTCACATATTCCCCCCAACAGCAACAGAGCTGTGGAGGAAAGGAGTATTCCAGTACTACTTCCAAATATAATTCTTACTACTACTAATTCTTACTACTGTGTCTGATTTGGAGGAAGCAGGATCCTTTAGATCCTTAGGCAAGAATTAAGATTTCTTAAAAGCATTTTTCTGATGTTCAAATGAACACAGGACAGTGAGCAAATAGGAAAGAAAATGTTCTGTGTTCATTACTGAAGCTCATCTAACTGTGGTCTGCTACTTAGGGAGGGAAGGGATGAAGACAAGTAAGAGACCAAATCCAAAACAGTTTCAAATGTTTGCTGGTCTCAAATGCTCGATGTCCACTAGAGGACCTGTAAAAGGTGTTTTAGTCAATGTGGGCAGGGAAAGATGACACCCAAGCCCTACAATAACTCTTCAGACTTTTGGGAAATACAGGGTGACAGATAAACGAGGACAGAAGCACTTGACAAATGTCACATTGTGTCCAACACCAGGAGGTCCCTCCTCTTCCAGAAAGGATCAAAATTTAACCCACACTTCGGGAATGGCCAGTGTGTTCCTGCAGCAGCAATATCTTTCTTCTACATTCAGTAACATCATACCTGTTTCTGGCAATAAGTAACATAACTAGACAAAGAATTTAAACTTTTTACTAAGTTTTTAGACTTACCTTGCTAATCTCTGCTTCATACTCCTGCCTCAGTTCCCCAGGCTTGCTCAGCTGGTGTTGAGGATGGGGGACACAGACTGAACAAGAAGAAGGAAAAAAAGAGACATGAGGAACAAAGCAAGATCATGACAGTCACCCATGAAAGGTTCTAAGAAATGATCACTTCTGTGCTCTGTCCCAGGAATGGTTTCAATTAAATCAAGAGCTGCAAGTGGAAGAACGTGTCATGGAGCCAACCCACCAGCTAGCCTCCCCCAACAGAGCTTGCAGTGTAATAAGCCCCAAAATCCTTTTTCAAAGAATGAATCATATCTCACTTCCTCTTCTCTAACACCAGAATTTTTGGCTCTCTCAGAGACTCCTGAATAGCCAGAAGCCCTGGAATTTTGAACCAAACTCTACGAGTTGAAAAAACTTTAACCGCTTTACTTACTTGACAGTGATAAACACAGACACACAAACACTTTCCAGATTTAAAAAAAAAAAAATCCACTTAATGATGAGATGATCAGAGAGTACCCTCTGTACTACAAATAAAAAAGGCAAAGACCCTTCCTCTGCCTTGCAAGCCTCTCACAGCTGAGCTCTGACACTGCATTTCCTAGCCTGGCTATGCGCACAGCTTCTTATTTCACAACACCCAAAGTCCACCAACAGTCATTACTTTGGTCAAGCAAAGACATCCCCAGGACGAGTGACATTTCACTTACTTTCCTCTTCCAGATCCTGCCCATTAATCCTACGTTCGCACTCCTCTGGGTAATTCTTCTGAATCTTTTCCCAGAGCTCCCAGTTGATGAGAGTATTTCTGCGGGCGTTGTAGCGCGCCCAGGAAGAGACCCGGCGGCGACAAAAAGGGCAGCAAAGACTGGCCTTTTCAACAGTCAGCTGGAAACAGGAATTGCAGAGGGTATGGTTGCATGGCAGGGTCACAGGCTCCACAAAAATCTCCATGCAAATCTGGCACAGGCAGTCAGACAGGGAAAGGGGAGCCTCCGATCTCTTCGACATGCTGACTGGACGTGGAGGAGCAAGACTAGTGCAACATCAGTACCTGGGAACAGAAAGGAGCAGGTATTTCCCATAATTCATATCTATAAACAAAATAAATCAATAGGAAACTCTTCAGTTTTAGAGCTACTTTATGAGAACACTAGTGGATTTAAGAACCCTGGTCAGTTTTGCTCACAAAGCAAAGATTCTGGGCTTTCAGAGAAAGTCTTTCTAGAACTCTTGGAAGAAAGTGTAGCAGGTTTTCCTACCATGATTTCCTCTGAGTTGTAACAGATGCTTTGGGGATAGAAAGAAGGTGGTAAAGATCAAGTGAGAGCTCTTCCAGCCTTTACTCTCTTAGAAGTTTTAAGCTATCCTCACATTTGGTGGATTTGTTACCACAGTTACTTTACAACCTTCCTTTCAGTCAATTTTCCAGTCTATGTATATGCTCCAAAAGCTGCTTCTGCTGCAGATTTGGTTCCAGCATGTTCTGAAGGTGAAATACAACATCCCCATGCATCAGAGAGAAATATCTTCATTTGCTTCAGCTGGGACTAAAAAGTCAAAAAATACTTTGCATTAATAAGAGCAAAGAACTAACCAATGAGTTCAACACTTAAGCACCTCCTTGTATGGCTGAAAAAGGTCGGGATCATCCACCCTTCTATCACCAATGCTCCTCACAGGGGTTTTCCACTTAGCCCAGAAATACTGTGGAACAGAAAATAAAACAACAAAGACACATACAGAAAAAAAAGAAAAAAAAAAAAGGATAAAAACTACTGACTTTTAAGTCACAGGAGCTTCTAAAAAGTTCTTACGAGCTTCCTGACAGGCAGGTCCTTGTGGAAGAAGGGACTGCAGCTTCAGTCACACAACAACTCGACATGGAGACAAGCCAAACTTTTCAGTCGGGTTTTATTGTTTCTCCTCTCCATCCGTTGACAAAACGAGCTGATTTTTTATCAAGAGCAGACGGCAGACACCCAGTTTCGCAGGTGGGTGGCTGCAAAGCGCCTAACAAGCCCACATCTCCCAACGACGGTTACCGAGGGCCCCACGA